TGATATAGAAATCAAAGATAACTGTTATTTACAGATTATTTAGATAAAAATCAAAAATAATTGTTTTTTTTTGTAATCTTGCATAAAAATTACAATTTTTTTTTTTCAAATTTGATGCTCAGTGAAAAAAGGAAAAAAACTTGGTTGTAGGACATTTCCTTCATAGGGAATTTTTCAATGACAGTTTTCATCAATAACTGTTATGGTCTAAATACTAAAGATTAAAAGAGTGCGCTATTCAAATGACCAGGAGTGTATGTACGGTATTTAATTTTAGGAACCTTACTTTCGTTACTCCAAATTTTTCCCCCAATTTTTCGCAATTTTTCTTCTTGTTTTTCAACTTGCTACCTAAATGCTTAGTGGTGCTACTCGTAAGAGTATTGGAATGCAACTTCCATATTGGCTGCTTTTGAAAAGTTAAATGAAAACTAGAATCAATGTAACTTTTCGCAGCCATGCAACCAGCCAGCCAGCCAGCCAGCCAGCCAGCCAGGCAACCAACTTTCCTAACAATCGAGTTGCTCCAACAAACTAAGTAGCAACTTCTCGGTCACTAAGTCTGCCAACTGTTATTTGTTATTATTGCTGAATTTTTAGCTCTTACCGAGTACTGCCAATCGCTTGCGTTTTTTTTTTGTTGCTAACTAGCAGCCATCTTAGTTGCTCCAGCAACGCGTTCCTGCTTTTATTGTTATTGTGCGTATTAGTTGGTTTTCTGATGTATGTATTTATTAGGAGCTTCACTATGTCACTTATGTAGCTGGCTGGTGGTGGCGGCACATCCAAGTCAACTCGTAGAAGTTGTTGTCAAACTTTTCAAGTTGTGTACGAAAAAGTTTCATAGATTTTCGGCAATGCTAGTTTAGAATTAAACTAAGTTTTATACGACGTAGCAACTAAAAGGCATGATAACTGTTCTTTCCGCTGCTTGTTACTGCTACCATGACGCTGCATCTGTTAGTGCGTGCGTAGTGAGGTCAGCAGCTTCATAGTTTATTGCTAAAAAAAAAAAGATTGGCAAATAATAGTTGAGAAATGAATTTTTGGCAACTACTAAGAAAAATCAGTAAAATTGTATTCCATTGTAAGGCATTGTTTAGGATGAATGCAATTATTTTGCTTGAGAGAAGACGAGTTCATGCATAGAAACGGCTTTGAAATATTTGGCTCGAATTTTGGAAAATGTGAATGCAACAAAAAAAAAGAAAAAACTTTTAAAATTTGTTTCTCCTAAAATGTGTTAATTGTAATACGCACATATAAACTACGGATTATGCAAACGTACGGCAGTACCTGTCGCTGATTTTACTCATACGCCATGTATGCCAAATTCCCGGCGAACAAAATGTATGTTACTTATTATAAATTTACATACTTACTTGATTTTTAAAATTTTGTTGCCGATTGTTTTTTGTGTTTATTCGTTATATGGAAACAATACTTGAAATGTATGTTCACTGGACGGCAGGAAATAGCTCCGCAAAAAATTTAGCCAGTAGGTGGCGCGCGAATCGCGAATATTTCGAAAACCCGCCACATCCATTTTCTTAACCCTCTAAAACTAATAAAAAAACGCAAGTTGTTCTTGTAAAATAAAAACAATTTTCTTCTTTGTCAATCAACAATTAGTTTACCGCTACCCAACAGTTTTCTATTGGTTTCATATATGTATATTTTCCTTAGATTTCAATGCAAAATTAAAAAAATTTAAAATACTAGTGTTCGCCCAGATGTTGAAATTCAACCTCTAAAATTAAGGCGAGTTGAGGTGGGCTGAGCTGAGCCGAGTTGATTTTAATTGAGTTAGTTGGAGTCAATTGAACTGAAATGCGTTGAATAACATAACAGAGTATAACATAACATAACATAATACAACAAAACACAAAACAACACAATACATATTGTCGCTACCATATCAAACTATCGAAATTGTCAAATTTCGAGTCTTCTTAGAAGCAGAGGATACTGGCTTTAACAAAGAGTTGAATCCCGTAACTTTTCCTAATGACAACAACATTTTTACAACTGTTTCTTTGCTCTCCTGTAAAGTACTAATTTTTTCGATAGTTTGACATGGTAGCGACGATACGTACATCTGTTTTTATGCTTAAGGTTATATATTTTTTGGGTTTTTCTATCTAGATCCCTACCACTACCCTTTTCGAAAACAAACCCGATAAAAATATCGAAAACCATATCGATAAAAAATATCGATAGAAAAATCTAAAACAATATCGATAAAAAATTTATAACAAAATCGATAAACAATGGATAACAAAATCGATAAAAATATTGATAACAAAATATATAACAAAACCGATAAAAATATCGATAGCATAATAGATAAAAATATCGATAGCAAAATCTATAAAAAATATCGATAACAATGGATATAAAAATATCGATTACTATTATTGGTTTACTGATATGTAAATAACGTGTTTTTCATAGTTAAAATTTTTTTATTCTCCTCCTTCATATTTCATGAAGTAAAAGGTTAAAATTTCATAATTGTTTTATTTTATACCAAAATTCTACGTCACATTCCAACTGTCAACAATTTGGATTCAGTTCTTACGGAAATGCCGTAGTTTTGACATTTTTCGAATATACCGTTTTAATTGGAGGTAAGCGTGGTTACCGACCGATTTAAATACCAACCTACCTCGGATAGAGTGCAACTTTCATACAAAATTTCCCTGAGATATCTCAAAATTTTGCTCAAGGTATCCCAACTTCTCTCCTCATTCCGATCATAATAGGGACACGACATTTTGATCAGCATTGACTATTTTACTTTTGTTTATTTAAAATATTTTTTTCTTGTTTTTATAAAAATATGGCCTATTATCTAACAAGAACCATACACGTTCAAATTTCAAACTTTCTTGAAAAAAATTTAAAATAATTTATATCAACAAACTTTTTATTAAGAATTTTTAGAGAATTTCTCGATTCCTTCAGGTTGTTACAAAGAAACTTTTTGTGAACAAAGTTAATATAACTTTGTGCTCAAAATACGCTCGAGTTGGTATAGAAATTAGGAGACGTCTCGTCTGTGTACGGATTTCCTGGTCACTAAGGTTGGCAACCTGGAATTTATTTCCTGGATCTAATAAAAAGAAACTTCTCTGTTCTCGGTTGGCTGTAAATCCAAACTCCGATGAAACGAAAAAGCGAAAGAAGAAGGGTTGCTATGCCCCGATTAAGATTAAGATACGACTAAAATTACGACTGATATTTTATAGATAGAGCAATTTTACGAATCCGTTGAAATAGTGCGTGAAATATGGGGATATCCGGATAACCAAATGAACGGATACCAGCCGGATATGCGGATATCATGATTTTGTACGTATACACGTATATTGGAACAGATATCCGAAAATACATGCGCATAGTCCCAGCCTTGATGCAAGCACAATTTTTTCACAAAATTTATAACGAAAATTGGGAAGGGACATCTGCTAACTACAAAACGCTCATCATTATGCGATAATCCTTGCACAGTTTTCCTTTCACTGGACTTTTCTTTTTGTACCATAAAATAAGAAGTTTTTAACTTTTTTTTGTTTGAAATGTAAATACTTACAGTGACTCAAACAAGTTGTAGATTTTTTTTAAATAATAACAATGTTTTCCGAGTTAAATTCTTTTGTTATTTTGCTGTAAATATATTGTGCAAGCTTTAACCACAATCATATAAATCACAGTTTCAAACTTTATAAAAAATATTAAAAAATTCATCAAATTTGTATACAAATTTTAACTTTTACATCTGAATTGCCCGAAAATTTTTAGGTATGCAGTTTTATAGCCCACAGACTTAAGGTCCAATGAAGTACAAGTAATTTTTCTTTTTTTTTGCTGACGGGTTTTTGCACTTTTTTCATATGAGCATGAATTTCTTATGAAATAAAATTCGAAAGACCGTTCGAGGCAAAATGTTAAAAAATCAATTACAGTTTTCTTAAATTGCACTTGTTATATAAAAACAAACCCAACGACGTCACCAAAAAAAAAAAAACAAATATTCAAAATCAATGCGATTTTTTAGCCGTGACACTTGCGTGGACTATAAAACTGCATACCCAAAAATGTTCTAAAGATTCAGTTTAAAATGTTTCCGCATTTTTTCTGGACTTGATTGATTTAGCTCACATACCGCAGATACAAATTTTTCCTTTTATAATGTGCCATCTTGAAAAACGCATTTGAATTTCTGCCATGGCATTTCTAAGCCGAATTCCTTTTCTCTATTTTCATACAATTCCATTATACCCACGCTTTATCTACCACTGTGCATCGCTCATAAACAGAATAAAATATATATATATATATATTTTTTTTTTATATTATCACGTTCCTAATTACAAGTAGTACTACTTTGTAAAATCCCATGTTTTTGTGTTTTTTTTTTTTTGTTCTATGCTTTTCTTGTTTGATGACATGCTTTTACAAGCGGCCATTGTTTTTGCTAGTAGCATCGTTATCATCAGCATGCCAGTGATGTGGGGATCAGCTATTGTTATGCATTGTCGCTTTGGGCGAAAACCATTGTTATTGGTGGTATTTTTACGTACATACTTTGCTTGTCCAACGCCAAGTCTACATACAACACGCCTTTACTTTGTTGTAAATAACTAAGCTGCCTTTATACTTACTAAGTCGCCCACCACTTTGCCGCATTATATCCATGTACTTGTACCCGTAAAAATGATGGCAATACCCGGTGCGCGTTGTCTGAATTTTAATTATAACCACCATTGCTGCCTTAGTGGTGGCAGTGGCTGATGAGTGGCATTAAGTTGGTGTGCTGTGCTAGTCATGCTCGCTAGCTATTAGCTGGCAAGCGATAAGTTCAGCCAATCCTTTTATATGACTTTGCTTGACTTTTACTTGTTTGTGGTTGTTCCTTTATATTCCTTTACCACACTTAGTCCTTTTTCTTTGCATTTACTTAATCACTTACATAACAATTCATTTGCTTCTTGCAGTTATCGTTTCACACAAATCGCTGTGGATGCACAGATAAAGACGCCTGGCGGGAAGACCTATGATGTGATATTCATTGGCACAGGTGAGTTGTGAGCGGGTTGCGGGAACACAGATCGGTGTGGGGAGTGCTTATCATGGAAATTTATACACAGAAAGCATTGTTTTTCTGTTATTTATTTTATTGTCTTTTATTTACTTTGTTTCGTAATTGCGTGTAACTGTATATTTTTAACTCCACGCAGATCATGGCAAAATTATAAAATCCGTCAATGCCGAGTCTGCTGACTCCGATGCGAAGGTATCTTCGGTGGTGATTGAGGAAATCGATGTGCTGCCAAAGAGTGAACCCATCAGAAATCTGGAAATTGTGCGCACAATGCAATATGGTAAGTTGTGAAAACAAAAACCAAAAAAAAAAAACCGTGATGTGGGTAAAAATAGCTGAATTGTAGCAGAGTTAGCATTGCGCTGATTGGTTTGAAAATACTCATTAAAATGGTGCGACATTTTTTGTTTTATATATTTTTTTATATTTTCCTTTTTTTCTTCTCGCAGATCAACCAAAGGATGGCAGTTACGACGACGGAAAATTAATCATTGTCACCGATAGCCAAGTGATTGCAATACAATTGCATCGCTGTCATGATGACAAAATCACCAGCTGTAGGTGAGTGTGACATGACGCTTTCGCGTAACGGCAAATTGCTGCTTTTTGCATTTTTTCGTCGCAGTTTTCAATACGCTGCCTGCGCGGCAGTAAGGCGCTCTATGTCCGTCAGCGGTTAGCCGTTGCATACACTTTGGTGTGCGACAGTTAATGCCAGCAAATTTATGTAAATTTATAATATATGCTCCTTTTTTCATTGTTCTTTCTCTCTCTCTCCCTTTCTGTGCGTTTGTGTTTGTCTCTTGTTTAGTGAATGTGTGGCGCTGCAGGATCCATACTGTGCTTGGGATAAAATTGCTGGCAAATGTCGTTCGCATGGTGCGCCACGTTGGCTGGAAGAGAATTATTTCTATCAGAATGTTGCAACTGGGCAACATGCGGCATGCCCATCAGGTAAGTGCAATAACATGCAAAACAAATGTGTGTTAAATATATTTAATATAAAGCTAAAAAATACAGTGAAATCTCGATAAAATGAACCTTGATACAACGAAAAACTCAATATAATAAAATATTTGCTGAGTCGCCTGAAGAAACATGCTTCAAAATTGTTCGTAAAAAAGCGCCATAGATATATGTAATAAAGAAATGCATGAAATCGGCATATATTGACGGTTAATGTTGCGTTAGCAAAAGCCTCTATATAACGAAGTGTCGATTGGAAATCCCCTACATAGCAAATTCTGAATATATTGGCTAGGTTGTTGTTTACAATATCAACATCTAAATTTTGTATGGGCGCTTTATTTTGTTAAACGGAAAAAACAAAGTCATGCACGAAAATTTCATAGTTAAAAAAACAAAATTAGGGGTCGCTGCCAGGATCGGAAATAATTTTTGTTTTTTGTAAATCACATAAATTTTGATTTTGACCAGCTACAACAAACACCATATAAATCCATATTTCAAATTTTTTACACAAATTTTCATCGAAATTCCATTTTTTATTCGCAATTTTTAGAATAAAATTATTAAAAATCAACGATATTAAACTTAAATTTAATGGGCTCTAACACTGCAAACCAACAATTTCTTTTCTGAATAAATAGTTTTAAATTTTGAGGAAAATTTTTTAAATTTATATAAATTTTGTACAAAGTTGTAAATGCGGATTTACTTATATGGTTTTGGTTGTACAACTAGCTAGACTTTTATAAAAAATATTTAACGTTAAGTAGACAAAATATTTCCAAGTTTGGTTAAAACAAGGCTAGTCTATTATTTCTGCCAACAGTGTATTCTTAAAAGTATGTAAGTTCATAAATTCGCTGAGTTATAGTTGGTCAGAGTCAAAATTTTGTGGAATTTTTGCGATTTTTTTTTTTTTTAAGTACGAAGTTTGACTGCCAACTTTGTTTTTGCTTTCACATGCAAATTTTTCGTTAGGCGTACAGAACTCGCATTTTATTAGGTGTTCAAAAAGATCAACAACATTGTCTTATACAAGTAATGTTGAAGATATCAGCGTTACAATAAAGGACTATTTTAGAAAATTGTCTAAATATGTATACATACGTATATGCATACATTTTTGAGCTATGCCCGAAATTCTTCTTAGCAAGTTTTGCGGTTTTTTAAAACTCATTTCCTGAATAATTTGTATACGAAAGATTTTCAAATAAAGAGAAGCCTTCTTAAGGGTCGGCAACGTGTTCCGAAAGTGCCGAAAACCCACTTTTTTTGTAGTGAGATTTTTTTTTGCCCCAAATAATATATGCTTAGACTGCCTTTAAAACCTAAAAAAAAAAAAATTAGAACGATATGTCTAAATTGTGCATACATACATACATACATATATATAAAAAAAATATGAATTACGTAGATTTTCATTGAAAAAGTTCTTATATATATAATATATGACTTTATTTGCAAAAGATGTCGGAATTTGAGAAATTTTCTCGAGGTCCTTCCATATAAATCTTTATATCTCGTAACAGAATGTTTTACATAAAGAAAATATAAATACCCATTTTACAGCGGAGCGATCGTTTGAAACAGAGCCATGAGTTTTCAATAGGTAAGACAACTTTGAAAAAAAAAAACAAACCAAAATACACGCTGCTACACGAATTAAAAAAAAGTTGCATTATTGTTTGTATTGAGGTGTTGATAACTAGGTATAGCATTTGTTCAACCTCTTCAACTTCGTTGTATCGAGGTTTCACTGTTTATAATTTATATATGTATGTATGTGCATACGTATACTTACATACATATATACATATATCTAAAATATCCTAAAGGCTCACATTTTATGCATTGTCTGTGAGTCTTTCTTACAAATGTGCGTTTTATACGAATCTATGCATGTATTTAACTACTTATTTATACGGGTAGGTATGTGTGTGTGTCACATGGCAGATTTTTACTACTGACTGTCCTGCAGTTAAACGAAAAATAAACTATAGAGAGATAAATACAATATATGTAGCAGCGAAAAAAAATTCAACAATATTAATTTTTGTTATTTTGTCATTATAATAACGAAAATCTTATGTGGTGCATTCGTATGCCTCGCATAGATTTGGCTACATGCCAGAAAGTGGCGTATTGCCAAGTTTCATCAAAATTAAATTCCACAGTTGGTGCAGTAGTGAGCGTGCACTACTTAAAGTAGAAAATAAATAGTTAATGAATTTTTGTATAAATCCATGAATACAATGTAATAGCAGAGGCATAGATTTAGTGATAGATATTTTCACTGATAGGTCTTCTATTTGGCTCTTCGCCATGTCCTAGCAATGAATGCATTAAGACCTCGCTAGCTCAGGGTGCTATCTTTAAATGTTGTTTTTTCTTATGGAAGTTGTTCGCAGTAAGTTCTTGAGTTTTGTGTGTTAATTAATTTTATTTAATCGTTTTGCATCAAGCTTAGAGGCCATCACAGTGTCAATTTACACTATTAAGGGCTGGTTACTCAATGTCTGGTTAGCACTATTCTTGGGTTAAACATCGTTATCGACTCCATGTTATACATATATATGGAGTCGAAGGCGGCGATAGCGTAAATAAAATTTAAAATTCAGCTGAGGTAGGTTGTAAGGAATTACCATTTATTTCGTATCGTTCTTTAAGAGGCATCTATGTATGTATTTCAAATCGTGTATGTAATTTACAAATGTGCTAAATAAACGAAAGTCCAGTTTTTAAATGAAAAAAAAAATAATAATTCCGAAAATTGTTTAATTGTGTTAAAAAATTTTACCGTTTTTGAATGACCCAAAATGCAAGGCAATTTTTGAATGACCATAAATTTTTACAGTTCTTAAATTACAAAAAATATATGCCGTTTTTAATTTCAAACAAAAACTTGTGTTCAGTTTTTAAATTATCAATAGCTTATGAGCATTTCTTAATAGCCAAAAATAGTTGTCCAATTTTTTCATTATAAAAAATAGACGCCTTTATAAATTATATAGAAATAAATTTGGTATAGTTTTTAAATAATTTATGTCCAATTATTGATGGCTAAAAATGTATGTCCAGGTTTTAAATTACCAAAAATTTCCGCATAGGTTTTAAATAAAAAAAAAATATGTCTGGTTTTTGAATTACCGAAAATTTATGTCCATTTTTTTATAAACGAAAAAATTATATCCGATTTTACAATTGTCAATAAACTATGTACGGTTAAAAACGTATGGCCAACATATTATTTACAGTTTTTACTTATGTACAAATGGTTGGGTTAATAGGCATAAGGTTTTTTTTTAAGATTTTTCAACACAAACTTACAAATGCATGTTGTGCCTGCCGAAGGGCAACTGCTATTAGAAGAAAACTTATTTAAAAATTTAAACTGTATGGCAAATTTTTTAATGGCCACAAATGTAGAATTTTAAATTATAAAAAAATCATGCCGGTTTGAATTACATACAAAACTATTTTCTACAGTTTTTTAATTACTGAAAATTTATGCCCAATTTTAGATGGCCAAAAATTTATGTCCAGGTTTTAAATAACTAAAAATTTCTGCCCAGGTTTAAAAAAAAAAAAGTATGTCTAGTTTTTGAATTACCAAAAATGTATGCCCATTTTATTTTTTATTTTATTTACGAAAAAATTATATGTCCGGTTTTAAAATTACCAATAAATTAAAGCATACTTATAAAAACGCACTTACGTGTGGAGTCAGTAATGAAAAGCTGCTAGGAAGGCATTTATTTTATATTGAAGCGATTTTTTAGTTTAATAGCTATGTACATACATAATTATACTTCCTTAATCCTACACAAAACAAAACAAAAAACCAGCGAGTTTTCAAAACAATAACTTTTTTATTATTTTTTTTCTTTATTTTCGTATCTATCATTTATATTCACCTCATTCGCGCACTTCCATTTTCATTTTCATTGCATATGTCATCCTGTTTTTTTTTTTGTGTCAACATTTATGTACTTTTGTTGCGCTCTACATACTTGTATGTATATCTTTCGCTCTCTCGGCACTCTTATCATTGCACCACTTCTATTCTCAGCATACACTCCATTCACATTTGCAGGTAAAATCAATTCCAAAGATGCGAATGTGGGCGAACAAAAAGGCTATCGTGACGATATGGACTTATTGGATTCGCGACGCCAAGGCAAGGATCAAGAAATCATCAATATTATGGGTGATAAGAATTTCGAAGGTATGGCAAAGAATATAAAGTATATGTAGTATGTATGTATGTGTGTATAAGCAACTGCTAATAAACAATATTCCCCAAAATTCCCCACCAACTCCAATTGTACTTTTGTGTGTATACATACATATTTACCAAAATGCTTGATGTCTGTTGATGTTGCTAAAAATATACCACATAGCTTCAATTTTGCTATGCGGATTCTCGGCATATGCAGCATATAAATAGAACATCATTCATTTTATTTTATTTTTTTTTACTTAATCCATGCATGCTGTTGCATTTATTGTTCTGAAGTGCTTGTTGACTATGGTTTACCGGCAAGTTACCCATCCTTTACCTCACCACTGCTTACCACCTTCGCATTTTCAAACCACGGCTGTTGGCGTCTACGATGCGTTGTTTTTTGTTTTTGATTTCTTTTATTGAATAGTAGTTGTTCATGCTTTTATGTATATTTTTGTATGTGTTTGTTTGTATGTAGGTGTGAAGTTTTCAGAATGCTTCCAGGAACTTAAGTGTGCTCGTATTTATATTATGCTATCAAATATAAAATGTCGCAATTTCTATGTTGCATGTGTAGATATCACATTTTCTCCCCTTCACGTATACTTTGTTGTTTTAGTTTGTCATAAATATTATTTACTGTTGATATATTTGCCATTTTATGCTTTCGCAGCTGCATTGATTGGATCAGTTTATACTTTCAATCAAAATATTTCATTTTTATTTGCCTTTTATGTATATAAGTATGAATATTAGGGAGGTCTTACAATGCAGTGTATTTTAGTGCTGTCACCCGCTATACTGAAAAAATATGCTCCTGTTTTTTCATTACGAAATCCAAAAATATAAATATATCTTTTTTAATCTTTAGAAACTTGTTTTTTGTATTTATTGTTTTTCATTTAATTTTTTTCTTTCTTTATTTAATTATCCTTTAATTTTAAATGTTATTGTTTTAAAGAGAAAAATCTTTTTTTTTAATTTCATTTAATTTTTAGGAAGTTATTTAATTTTTATTTTTTGCAAAACTAATTTATTTATTTTTTTAGTTTAATTTCGTTTTAATTCTTAGATTTTATTGTATTAAAAATAAAACTATGTTTTTTATTTTTAATTGTATTTAATTTCTAGAAACATATTTTATTTCATATTTCTTTTTTAGTTTAATTTGTTTTTCTTTTTGTGATACAATTTACTTTAAGTTTCTATTTTTTGTAGTAAAAACTTTTTTTTTTAATTCAATTTTGAAGCACTATTTTCTTTTTTCCTTTATTTTTTCGTGGAGGTTATATATAATTCTCGAAAATCAATATATTTGATCGGAAAACTCTGTTTCTCTTCAGGAGGCTTTCAATAAAAATATCCAATTTAAAAATATTACTATTTTTTTACTACTAATGATTTTTTATGGGTCCCCAATTGCAATTTGTTTGCTGTTTTCGGGGGACCTATAAAAAAATTTCAATATTAAAAAATTTATAATTGATCAATTAGATATTATTACTAGAAGTCTCCTGAAGGCAAACAGAGTTTTACGATCGAAAAATATTGATTTTCAAGTATTATGTAATATTTCTACGGAAACTTGTTTTTTCCCCATATAAAATACATGGAAACCTGTGAGCGCCTTGAGCGACCTCTAAATATTTTTTGATTTCGAAAAAAAAACAGGGCTGAATTTTTTCAGTATAGAATAATGCTAGCTTTTGAGAGCATTAAAATTCCGGCTTTAATTTTTTTTTTTCCACCCTAAAGTACAACATACCTATGTACATACTTTTGAGGTGATGTTGATTTTCTACACAAATAAGTAGTAGAACCTATATCCATAAATATAGTAGCTGTTAGTACATATGTGTACCTATTGTGGTGTCCTGTTTTTGTTTGTACAATTTAAATATTTTTTATGCAAATTTATTTGATTAATTTTTCATTTCCACGTTTCAAATTCATTTACTCATTTTAGGTAACTAGATATAAAAAATATATTCTACATAAACTCAAACGCAAAAAGCCGCAGGGTTATGTACATACATACATTTGAATTTATGTACATATGCACACAAAGCCGTGAAGCTGACAACAGCTTGAATGTAGAGGTGCTGAACAATTTCCATAACCAAATGGTCCCAGATACTTTGCAGCGCAATGGATACAACAAATTTCAGCTTATTTTCTTACAAATTTGAAAAAGACAACGTGTGTATGTGCCAGCGAGCCTAAATAGAGCCTCCATATATTCGATAACAGGGCTATTCTGGCTAAAGGCCTGTATGCAGCTCTCAAGAAAAGCGTAAACTGCATATAAAATGACGTACAAGAAATGGCTAAGAAATTTTCTTGAGTCAAATTTCCTTAAGACAGTACGCAGTTCTTAAGAAATTTGCTAAGCTTTCTACTATGGTTTTCTAAATTTTTTTTGTGAAAAAGGAGCTCAAGGCAACCAATGTTTTCAACAGAAATGCATGCCCGATACATTATTTCTTGAGGAAAGAGTGAGTCAACAGGCTCTCACAGGCTGTGAAGTATCATAATTTTTTTCTTGACCGTTTTCTTAAGATCTGCATACAGGCCTTAATATAGTAATAAGTCTTTCGTGGGACAAATGAAAGACAGATAGCAAGATAGTTCGAAAGACTTTTGTTATTCTAGCACAAATATCTTAGAAAAAAAAGCTCTCTCATTCGCCACTTCTGGTGAAAAGCGATGCAGTCCTCGACCCCTTTTTCTTTTTTTTTTCTTTTTTTCCTAGAAAAATAAAGATACATATGTATATCTATTTTAATTTAATTTAATTTTGAATTTAATTTAATTTTTAGAAACTTTTTTTTTGTATTTATTTCTTGTTAAATTTTTTTTATTAATTTAATTTTCTTTTAATTTTAGATGTTTTTGTCTTAAAGAGAAGGATATTTTTTAAATTTCATTTAATTTTTAATAACTTAGTTTACATTATTTCTTCTTGAATACATTTTTTTTAATGTTATAGTTTGATTTCGTTTTAATTCTTAGGTAATTTTTAGAAACTTATTTTATTTCATATTCTTTTTTTTAGTTTAATTTGTTTTTTCTATTTTTAATATTTTTTTTTTAATTTCTAGATTTTGTTTTAAAAATATTTTTATTTTAATTTTAATTAATTTTTAAGCACTATTTTTTTCTTTTTTTGATTTATTTCTTTCTTTTTCTAATTTCAATTTTATATATTATTGTTTCAAACAGAAAAACAATTTTAATTAAAAAAAAAAAATACTTTTATTTATTTTTGTTTTATTTTCATTTAATTTTGTTCTTTTTTTAAATTATATTTTCTTTTGTTTATTAGTTTCATTTTTTTTTTAAGAAAAATATATGTACACACATAGGTACTTTTTGTAAATTAATTTTTAAAAAACGTATTTCCAAAAGGCAAAAGCATAACGCTAACACCTCCTCATTAGCGGATCTTCAATTAGTCTTTCGAAAGACTTAATGTCTTTCAAGATAATTGCCAAACTTGTCTTTCGAAAGACTATGGTGAGTTGAAAGATAGTTGCCAGAATTGCTTTGTAACTGCTTCCTTCATCAGCATAGCAGCATCATTAAAAACACTTTCCAAGTACATATACATAACTCACAGTTCTGAATGCCAAATAAACAACTTTTTCTTGAAGTCACTGTACATACTTAATTTGCTTATTCCTGACAATAAATATATTGATATGTATGCATATCGATGAAATGAAAAAAATATTTATTTGGTGGAAAAATATTCATTGGTAAGTATCCCCGGGGCACCTTGGCGAACCTTGGGCATAACTCCTCCAAACCTGAACCGATTTTAAGAGTGTTGGAATCAGCTGCATACAAAAAATCGCTACGATAGTCATCCTATAGTATTACTACTTCAAAATAGATCGCGCACCAATGAAATTTGGTCGCAAAGGGGCATTAGGGAAGCCTTTTTCTGAAATAATAGGACTGATTTTAGGCATTTAGCATATGTAGCGCGTACAGAAAGAACCGCTAAGCGATACCCTTTTCTACGATACCTATATCGGCGCAATCGGTCCATATTTGGCCGAGTTATAACGATTTTTATAACGGACGGCACCCTTCTGCTGGCTTATGGTCGCCTGGTAGAAATTGTAAGTTTTGCCGGCACGAAATTCGGCAAATCTAGCAAAGTTCCAAACCGATTTGCACAATCAGGATGTCAAACGAAAGTGCACCCTGTAGTGGTGGCAGCAAGCCATTTTGACTTCCGCTTTCCGATATATTTGGCCGGAAATAGGCCAGGTCGTAGAAACATCCCTCAAACTCTTGCAAATCGGAACGGATTTTATTAAATGTAGTGTCAAATGAAAACACATAGGTTGCATTCTAGCTGTGCTAAACACTCAAACACATACCTGTTCAGAACAACCATACTCTAGCATTCGTTTGTCGCAAAATTACATAGACGCGGGGCATTTTTTTGAAAAAGAATGCCATAGGAAACTGCGCCGACCTATGCAATTTCATTGCAACTATACCTGATAAAATCGGTTCAGCTTTGGAGGAGTTATAGAGATGTTTCAGCGACCTTGCCTCTTTCCGGTCAAATATCTCGGGAAGCGGAAATCAAAATGGCTTGCATACTTTAAGGGTGTCTCCACTACAGGGCGCACTTTCGTTTGACATCCTGATCGTACAAATCGGTTTGGAACTTTGCTAGATATGCCGCATCTCGTGCCGTCACAATTTCTAATTTCTACCAGGCGACCATAAACCAGCAGAAGGGAGCCATCTGGCATAAAAATCGTTATAACTCGGCCAAATATGGACCGATTGTGGCGATATTGGTATCGATGGAAAGTGTATCGCTTAGTGGTGTTTTCTAGCCTAACGCAGAACTGCTATTTCAGAAAAACCATACCCGAGCATCCCTTTGTCGGAAAACTACATAGACGCGGGGCTTTTTTCTTTTAAAGGAAGCTATAGGACACTGCGCCGACCTATGCAATTTCATTTGGCATCATCCCTAATAAAATCGGTTCAGATCTGGATGAGTAATGGAGATGTTTCACGCTATTTTCAATACTCTTTTCTTGTACCGTTAACTGGTAACTTCCTTGTAGACTTACTAAACAAAATCAAAATTTTCTAAAGCCTCAAATAGTACCTAACTTTTTTATTTAGAAACATTTGTAAAATTTAAACTTGCGATTTAAGAAGTCACCGATTTTCGCGCTCAAGACGACAAACGCAAATACACCCTGTGGCTTAGATGTATGCAGCAGCGTCCTAGTAACTTCGCTAAAACTCCACCAAACGAGTGGTAAAATTTATTGGGAAATATTTCAAGGTGGCGCTCTTACTTGCATATCAGGTATTGCTGTGTTTAACATTTGAGGTGATGCTTGATTTTGGGCGTTTTTTGTCAAACGGGAAGGAAGCTGAGATCGCTGCTATTGCACTTGAATAAACTTAAGAAAATGTCGTCGCCTTATCGATCGCTTGCGAAGAAACTCACCTTAGTTGCATTCGTAAACTGCGCGCATATTTTATTACCGTTAACTAATTAGTTAGATGACATTAATTCAAAGAAATAATAAAACAGCTTTTTTTATGCATAGATATATTTTTAAATTGTGGAATTATGTAGTAATTCTATAGAGTTGAGTAATCAGCGCGCCCTGATCGCCAAAAAAGTAAGCGGCATTTTTTTTTTTAATATTTTTTGTTAATGCAGAGGTGCTCCCAGAGCATTTGGATGAATTTCAGCTTCGGAAAAAAAAAATTTTTAAAAATGTCGTTTACGTTTTTTTGCGGCTAGGGCTCGATATCGTTTACAATGTATTTACACATATATATGTATGTTAATTAATGGTTCTGGCATCTTATTTAGTAGATTTTTACTTTCAAGCGAATTTATTTTGTTATAAGCCTTCTTCCTTACTCTGTTACGTATATATGTATATAAGTATCTACCCTTCCTCTAAAAGACCAAACCCAAAGCACACATTTTATATCCTTTTGCAGTTTAATTATTGACGTTTAACTTTATTCTCCTTTTTTTCTTTTCTTTTTATAAAACAAAAAATAAATAAAAATAAAAACAAATATTATCTTGGCGTTAAACATAATCCAACTCAATGTTACATATTTATGATGTCGTGCGTAACATAATCGTTGCTGTTGATGTTGCTGTTGCTGTTACATACACTCTGTTGTTGCTCTGTTGATGTTGGTGTTGGTATTGGTATTTTTGATTTTGTACGCCCAACACAACATTAAAAACAAAACAACATTTTAAAAAAAAAAACACTTGCGTTGCCGAACATGAACATACACACAAAAAAAAAATCGTTTAACTCTACCACAAATGTATCAACGAAAAATATGTTATTTCACAATATCTACCGCAAAAAAAAACAAACTATGAAATGTTATCACTTTTGCAAAATTTGAAACTACTAAAAAAGGTCCACAAATTTCAGCAGATATTATCAATGCGCAGTATACCGTCGAAACGCTGGTTATGGCCGTCTTAGCTGGCTCAATTTTCTCCCTTCTAGTGGGCTTCTTTACAGGCTACTTCTGTGGCCGTCGCTGTCATAAAGATGAGGATGACAATCTGCCATATCCCGATACGGAGTATGAGTACTTTGAACAGCGTCAAAATATAAATCGGTAATTTGCTGACAGTGGCTTGTAGAACTCTATTAAAACAAAGCTATTTTAACTAAATATAAGTACAGTAACACACAGTAATATTCGTAATTTAGTTTTTTCACAGTATACATATTTTTCGTTAATTTTCATTTAAAATAAAGCTCATTCTATAACGAAAACCATGTAAATCAATCTTGCAAACTTTGTACAAAATTTACTAAAAATAATAAAACTTCCAAAAATTTTCATCAAAATTTCAAACTTTTTAATCAGAATTTTTTGTAAAGAACTGTAATTATTTTTAACGGTAGTAATTTTTATGTCCACTACTGTACTCAAAAAAAAAGTAAAAAAATGCAAGCAAAAGTTGTACCGTTGATTTTTTAGATATCTTTTGTGGAAGCTGTAGCGAATTTTCTTCCATATATAAATAGATTCTAAATCTAAGAAATCAACGGTAATTTTTAGCTTCTTGAATTTCGCTCTTTATTACACCGGCACTTTATATAACTGTAAATTTTCTAAAAACTCCGACTAAAATGTTTGAAAATTTGATGAAAATTTTTTGAAGTTTGATTAATTCTAGTGAATTTTGAACAAAGTTTGAATGAGTTGTAAAAATAAAAATTTACGAAAAAGATTTATGATGGAAACATTTTGAATACTATAAAAAAAACTAAGTTATGAATACTTCTGGGGGTGACTGTATATGCATTAGACCGTCCCACCTTACCAGCAAACAAAAATAAGTCCGCCGTTCACCCTAAAGTCTACTTTTTTTTTGCAATGCAGTTTGGAATTTTTTTACCGAGCTTTTTTAATTATTAAATAATTTAAATTTTCTACAGGATTAATCAAAACACTTCTTTCCCAGCAGTTTAATAATTTTTGGCCAGCTTTAATTTACTGACATTAGGGTCATATGAAAAGAGATCTGGTGGGTAAGTACTAGAACGGGTTACCTGAGGTCAAGAACTTTGAAACAAAAAAAAATTTCTCCTCGAGGCATAAATTTATCATACTTTAAGATCCGACTGTAAAAGCCGAAGATATAACGAAAAATGTAAAAAGGCAACCAAAAGTAAAAAAAAAATATTTTTTTTCCAAATTGCCTGGCAAAAATACTTTAGACTCAGAGGTGGATGACGAACTTTTTTTTTTTGCTTAATTGTAAGGTGGTGCGGTCTAATGTACCGATGTACATATATGTATGTAAGTATATTAACCTTCTTTCCGTTTTACCTTCTTTGCTCAGCATTCAAGCCGAGCCCAAGCTGCTACCTCAAGTGGAGGAGGTGACGTACGCCGAACCGGTGCTGTTGCCACAGCCGCCACCACAAAATAAAATCCAACACTCGCCGAAAAGTACGCTACGTAAGCCCATGCATCATCATGGACCCAACTCAGAAACGCTCTTCCAGTTCCAGCCTGATGGCTATAATACTCAACAGACATATCGCGGTCGCGACAATTTTGGCACGCTGCGATCGCATCAGGTGATGGTAAGTGTTCGTTGGATGATGGCATATCTAGCTTAAAAAAAAAAATTAAATTAACTTTTAAATAGAAAAAATATACACATCCACAGTGGTGGGCACAAAAATTAGGAACCTATGAATTTTAACTTTTATTTAGCTATTTTTAATCTAGTTGGGAAGTGTCACATTGCGTATGCATATGAATGCATACACATGTATATATGTGTGTATGTAGTTGGTCAAACCGCATCGGCGCTATGAGGCATAGAAAAGGTTTTTAAATCAAATTTCGTCACCTCTTTTTTTTAAGCTTTATCTTCAAAATATTGCGGCTTATAATTAAAATCAACTACGTACACCACTTTGAAACCATGTGCGAGCCTAGAAAAATTTATGTTCTATATTTTGCTTTTCTAAATTAAACTTTTGGTGCTTTCTTTATAAAACAAAAAAATATAAAACTGCACTGCACGATGTTTCAAAATAATTAAATCGAATAAATTAATTTTTTTAGAGAAAAGTAATTTCTGAATTTCTTATGGAAAATTTATTTTAATATTTGAAAGAAAAATAAGCTAGTCACTTCATTTTTTACTAAAGAAATTCTTGGGCGGTCGCAATTTGTATGATCACCACTCTTCTCATAAAAATAAAACAATTTCAAGGAAAAATCACAAACTTTGAAATTAGGAAAAGGAAAGCAGGCCAACAATGTTGCTTTTTTTACAAGAAATAGTTTTTCCAAACCCTGACTTGGGCTATAAGAAGTTCTAGAAATTATTTAAAGTATTTGAAAATAGAAAGGGCTTAAAGCGCTAGGCACTCCATTTTTATGACCGCCATTGCACGCATAAAAAATAAAGATTGAAGGAAAAATCACAAACTTTGAAAAAAGAAACAAAGAGCGAAGCAATAATGTTGCATTTTTTATAAGAAAAACTTTTTGCAAACAACTCGGATTATAAAAAGTTCTAGAAATTTTACACAAACTTTTGAAATAGAAAGAGCTAAAAGACATAGCCATTTAATTTTTCATACAAAAAATTTTTTTTTTTTGGCGTAGCTTTGTTGTTCGCCACTGTAGGTATACAAAAAGCTAAAAAAAATGCAAGAATAATATATTATCTTTGTAATAAGGGGAGAAGAACAAACCAAACTCATATTTTTTTAAATTAATTTTCTCAAATAAATGAGATTTGGACTTGACAAAATTTAAAAATCTCTCATAACATTTCAAAAAACATATATATATATTTTTTTGGGCGGTAGTAATTTTTATGTCCATGTATACAAAAAGATTGCAAAAAGGCGAAAAGAACGAAGTAAACGCTTGACGTTTAATTTTAAAATTTACTCACAAAATCACACACACATTTACATTTTCAATTTCAAGCAACAACAATTTTGAACAATTTAGTTTTTTCTAAATGCCGCAAAACTTCAAAAAAAAAATCATGGCCGACGAATTGAGAGAACGGTTCTACCTTACTATGATTTTTATCATGACAAATACGATTAGGACTTCAAAAAAATTTGCAATTTTTCACTAAATACATTTGTAAATGGAAATAGCTAAAAAGCAGATGACATTAATTTTGCATAAAACATTTTTTGGGCGGTAGTAATTTGTATGTCCGCCACTGTATTTCCACAAAAAAAAAAAGAAAAAAAAAGCCAGGAAAATGTGCAATATTTGAAAAAACACAAACTAAGCGCATTATTTTTAAATGAATTTTCTCAAGCAAAAACGATTTTTTATCCAAAATATTTGAACGTAAAAATAGCGTAAATATTTCATTTTCTAAATATTTTTGTGTATCCTAATTTTTATGACCGCCACTGTGCTCCTATAAACATACATATACATGTATTTATATTGACAAAAAATAAATTCGTATTTTTTCCTTATAAAATACAAAATAAATTCATCTATTATTCAGGGTGATAATTATCGTCGGGGCGATGGCTTTTCGACAACTCGCAGCGTCAAGAAGGTAAGTTTTTTTTTGATGATTTGAAAAATGTCATAAGCCTTATGTACTTGTATTGACATATCTATTGATGTTTCACGGCAAATTTGCTATAACAAAATATGATTAAAACTCATTTGAATTTAAATTGAATGTTTAGTAGGTGAACTTGTACGTACGCTTGCTCACTTTCTCAGTCGTCTACGATTGGTGTATTTTTTTTGTTTTATTAAACGTATAGATGATCCTTGAAAATTCAAAAAAAAAAAAATTAACAAACTGTGTAACTTTTCCCCAAAGTAGTAAATAAATGTATATAGCGATGTAAAGTATGTATGTTCATTTATTTATGTATGTATGTATGTTTATATTTGTGAATGACTACTAAAATACTAACAAAAAAACTTTAGTTTTAATGCTACCAACCAATCTATGTATACTAAACTAATAATTATCTAAAACTAAGTAGTGACCGCTTTAAATGTTGCATACACAATTGTTTACTTATAATTCTCTTTGCATCTTTTTTTTTCGTTTACTTATCATTCTAATTTTAGCTGCACGCTTCAACACGAACAAATCTTTCCATTTATTTTAGCTATAAGTTAACTTAATATTAAAATGAGGTATTCATTGGCTTATTGATTTATATAAAAAGGCTACATAGATGGTAATATTTTTATACGAATTCTAAATATTTTTGAAGTATTGCTGTACCTTAGACATGGCAGCTCCCCGGTTAGACAAGTCGCCAGTTGTTCTCATGCAGCAACTGTTCACCAACAGGGTGGCAAGTTCGGAGCTAGAGGTGTTGTAATTCGGAGGACAGTTAGCAGGCGTACCCAATATTGGGGAGTCCTTTCTCTGTTTCGATTGAATAAAACAATTAACCAAGTATTTCAGTGCATGAGGACGGTGTTGGTTGAGAGTATGTGCCTCCACGTAATCAACACGACAAGACTCTCCCTTTGAAGCTTTGTCAGGGAAGGTGGTAGTCCTGGAAATAATGGTTGCGCAAAACGACAATATTATGAAATGCGTTAGCTAAGCAAGGACAAGAATGCAAAAACGTTCCCTTTCCAGGGTTGAGTGTAACATCAAACACATTTTGTGTATTTTTGTAGAGATAATCAGTATGAAAAGTTCAGTTTGTATGGGAGGTGTTACGCTCGTTTATGTATCAAAATTACATACAGTGTCAGCTAAAACGTTTACTCGCACGCCTTAAATTAAAAGTTATATTATTTAAAAGTAATTAAATATTGACACGGAATATTTTTCTACAAAATTCTTAACGCAGATTTGTATTAAATTCGTCATGTACATTAAGAACGAATTTCGAGCGTGCCACTAAAAAATTGTAAAATTGGAATTTTTGTTTCGCAAATCATCGTCATCTCATAATCAGTATAATTTTTTTGCATTTGGTGGCACACTAGTTTTATCACTCTAGATTTGTTCGTTTTGGCGAGAAGGACATTTTCGTTTAATGTTGATATTTTGAAGTAGCTTAAACTTAAAAAATCGTTGAATTTCTAAAATTACAAATTTTTTTTTGTGGTGGCACACTCTTGAAACTACACAAATATGCTGTATTTGATGCCAACTTTCATTGCCCTTAATATGAACTTTCTATTTGAAAACTTCCCAAAGTTATTAAAAAAAAAATCCATTACGATTTTTTCGAGGGGGAACGAAACAAATTTTATTTTCGCCTAAATAAACGTTTTAAGGCTAAAATTGTTCAAATACTTGATTAATTTTTTATTGTACTTGTTTCTGGAACTCCATTGATGGAAATAAATGCAAGCAGGATGCTTTAGCGTTTTTTTCTGCCGGAAGAAGGGAATGACACTAAAAACAACTCGTGACACTGACTTAGGGCCGATTTTTCAGTGCACGCTCAAATCTGACTGTGGTTTAATCTTAGTTTAAACGCTCGAGCTTTAGTTTCACTTCCTCAAACAGAATAATTTTTTTTTTTTATACCTTTCATGAGCATGAAATGGTATTATAACTTTGGTCCGATGTTTGTAAGTACCAGAACGAAAAGAGATAGACCCATTAAAATGTATACTTATATGATCAGAACGTCGAGCTGANATTTGAACAAATATTTACAACTACAATAAGTTTCTAATTAATAAATAATTATATGTAATAAGAAAAATAAATTTAAATAAGTTTTAAGTTCTGTACATAATAAAGTATGCGTATAAGACAAACTCATTAAACATCGAAATTTGTAAATAACTATACTTTTCTGTAAATCATTTTCGTCAGTACGAAAATGAAGTGTAAGCTTAAGGCTCAGTTATGCAAATTTAATGTTGCCATTGCATATACAAACTTAGCTTTTGAAACATATGTATCTATGTATGTCGATATGTTACCCAACAACAATTGCACATATTTCTCCGCTCCTATTTCTCCCTCTCTAACGCGCTCATTATTCAAACGAATATCTCTTATATTTAAAAATCAAAATTCAAGCTTTAAAGTAAAGTTATGACTAACTATTAGTTGGCTAACCTCTAAACACTTATACATACACAAAGTTCATTGAATATAATCATTATGTGGCATTGCTTAAGTCAAAGTAAAATTAAGCTTGCATAACTGAGCGTATAGGCTTAAATTATAGTATGTGTAAGATCAACTACATTAATTCCATTTAAAAGGGGAGTCATTACATAGTTTTTCTTCTGTACCGTCTAACTCATCAAAAATGTTTAAAAATTTCCAAACCCAATCATTCATAAATTGTCATAAATACCCGTAAATTACTGGTTAAGCAAAGAAAAAAAAAAATCAAATACACCAATCATATGACTCTCGGCTTAAATTCTTTTCCATTTGGCTGCAATACTAATAATAAGAAGTATATTTTCGATTTCGTAGTTAAATTGTAATTCAAATGATTCTTGAGTTAACGCTCTTCTTCTACTATAATTCTGTTCTTCTCTCTATCTTTCTTTCTACTACATTCTCACTACATTTTTGACGAAACAATATTTGTTCACACTCGATACACTCGGAAAAAAAATCAAACACCCTACAAATCATACAAAAACAAAACAAAATTCTATCTATCTTTTCTCTCTTCTTCCCTTTCTCCATTAGGTTTACCTTTGAGACGGGAGTGGGGCGGCTGATACCAGTCAGGGATTAATTACCCAAAATATGGTAAATACTTTTATTTAAGCCTAGCTTTGCTACTCTTAAGGTCAAATGAAACAAAATGCAATAGGGAAACAAGGAAGGAAGTTAGCTAAATAAATTAAAAAACAGGATTGTTTTCGGCAAATGTCGAAACTTTTTACCCTTCTCGCTGTATCAAAAAAATGTAAATAAAGTTATGGATTGAGTTTTATCTATTGCTTACGTTATTAAGACATTTAAGTTTTGTGTAATAACTAGGTAAAAATAAATTTTTTAGAGGGTGAAACTAATTTGAAAATGAGAAATAAATAGATGCGTACCTTCTTCTCAAATTTGTCAGCTGCTGCTGCTAAAGTAATCTGTAATTAGAAAAAAAAAACTTTGTGAAACTAAGCTTATAAGAGAAATTAAAAAAAAAGAAAAAAAATTTAAAAGTTTTTCAAATTTTTTTAATGAATTTTAATGAATTTAAATAATCGAAGCCAAACAATTTTTTGTAAAAAAAAAATAAAATCGAAGTTTATAAAATATAGAAAAAAACTACCACTTCAAACTTTGGTTTCTTAAAAATTTCACAAAAGTAAAAAGGAATTTTAACTAAAATCATTTTCTTAAGAATGCTAATTTTTGAATAAAAGCGTAGATTTATCTTATATCTTGATTTTGTTAAATTTCGAACAGCTAAAGACAAACAACAAAAACGTTGGCGGGCTTCAAAAAGCCATTTTTTTTAATAAATATATACATTCATGGTTAAAAATAAAAACAGAAAAGCTTTAAAGTTTTCAAAAATTTTAAATTTAGTTTACATTTTACTAAGTCAAAATGGGAGCTTCTAAAACATACATCATTTTAAATTGTATTAAGTAAACTTGAAAGTTTTCATAAATTTTTAATTTAATTCACATTTTACGAGTCAACAGAGAAGCTTTTAAAAATTTTCGTCATATTAAATTGCAATTACTTAAAAAAAAACATGCTCTAAAATTTACCATAAATTGTACAAATTTTATAATTCAATTTAAATTTTCAAAATTATAAATAACTAAAATTGTAAAATAAAAATTTTGAAATTATTAAAAAAAAGCATATTACTCCTTCAAGTTGTATATAAATATCAAATAAATTTCATAAATTTTCAAAACTTTTAAATTGAATTTTAATTTTCAAAACAAAAATAGTGTTATTTTTTCAGATAGTTGGTCATAAATTTAAATTTTCAACAAATCGTAAAGAACTAAAATAAAATTTAATTTTTGAAATTATAAAAACAAAAACGCCCTTCAAGCAGATACGTATGTAAATTCATAAATTTTCAAAACTTTCATATAGAATTTAAATTTTCAAAACTTTCAATGAACACAAATTTCAGAGTTAAAACAAACAAATGTTAAAACTAAAATTAAATTTTAAAAATCTTATGCATGTACATATATTTAAAACAAAAAATATTTGAATTAAAAGATAATAATTAAAAAAATTGTCATTACTCTTTAAAATGTCATTTAAATTTTGAGGAATTAAAACAAACATTTGAAATTTTAACGAAACTTAAAATTTAATTTTTGAAAATATAAAACAATTGCCACGTTACACCTTCAAGTTTTACATAAATTTCAAAAAAAAACACATAAATTTTTAAAACTTTTAAATTGAATTTAAATTTTCAAAAATTTGATTGAATTTAAATTTTATTGTAACTACACAAAAAAATTAAATTTGAAAATTTAGCTTTAAAAAAGATTTACCACATTGTTTAGGCATATTTTGTATCAAAGTTTGAGTTTTTATTAATGCAACGTGAAGGGTAAAAGATCACAAAAATATTTTGTAAAAGTTTTTTAGCATAATTAGCCTGAGGA